TTTTGGTATGATTTCCAGTATGTCGTCTACGTAGCGTTTCCATAGTTTTATTTTACAGTTTGGGGGGGGGGGGCAGTGGATCTAGGTTCTAGGTCTTCCATGAAAAACTCGCACAGGGTGGCTGATAACGGGTTACCCATGGCGAAGCCTTCCAGTTGTTTGTATATTGTGTTGTCGTATGTGAAGGAAGTGGAGTTAGCTACCAGTCCTATCAGTTGTGCTATGTCATCTGCTGTGAGGTTTGTTCTTTTGTGTAAAGTCTTGTCCTGTCTGATTCTGTTAACTACTATGTCTATGGTTTTTTGGGTTGGTATTTTTGTGAACAGGGATGTGACGTTGTGTGAGATGAGTATGTCGTTGTCTTCTATTGTAATTTCCTTTAGTTCTTTTGCCAGTTCTATGCTATTTTTACAGTGTTGATCTGTCTTTCCTAATAACGGGCTGATGATTTTGCTGATATCTCTTGCCATGATTGTTAACGTAGCGACAAAACAGGTAACAAAACCGTTTCTGTGTTTTAAAAAAAGAACGACAGCATGGCATTAGAACTAATACACAGCAAGAACACACCTAAGATGAATAAAGGGATTTTCGATTCTATTCACCTATCTGCAGCCTTTCCAATTCCTGTTTAATGTAGGTTAAATCTTTTCTCACGGGCCAACAACAAAATAAAAATATAACTTTATCTTAAATGAAAATGCAATATCTCACCTGTTAACTTTCATGTTTTGGAGCAGAAAAAGAGCATAAAAGCAACATATTTAAAGCTCAGTTTGCTCCACTGATTTACTGTGATGCTCACCTGTTCCAGCCCAGTGTCGGGCAAGTTACTTTTAAACTGTAATGCATTATTATTACTTGTTACCCTCATTTTTAAGTAATTCATTGCATTACAATATTACTGATTTTAAAATGTAAGGCATTACACTACTTTTTCATTACTTTAAGTTACTTTCACCAAAACAACATCAATATGAATCTGGTAATCTGATGCTCAGTGAGCTCATGACATATATGTGGAAGGTGATGTGGTGTCTGAGCTAGGATTGTTTGTAAAAACAGTCAGATATAATAACAGTGCTTTAAAATGATTGTTTATTAAATAAAAGCAACAACAATCTGTACTCTCAGCATGCTGCCATCTTATATTAAATGAGCAGGGAGTGAGGTGGTGGGGGCTCCAAGCCTATATTTGCCTTGGTCCCCAAATGCCTTGATACGGCCCTGGATGTGGGACTGACTTCTGGGGTGATCTGATTCTATCACATGTATAAATATTAAATGCTTATATATTATTGATTTTCACTGGTAAAAATGTGTATTGAGGATAAATCTACCTACTTTTTTTCTTTTCAAGCACTTTGTTTTGTTGTTTTGATTTTATTTGAATACAGCTGCCCTCTCTCTAACCTTCCTGCATGCTGCATGTTTTCTCCATCTTCCAGAAAAACTGTTTCCTAGATTCCCTACTTTCTAACTAATCAGCCAAAGGGATCTACCGAACGCAAAAAAATAAAAAATTTTATGAATAAAAAAAATAAAAGCTTAATATGCGCTGCGCTCTAGCAGCAATGAGTTGAAATCACCGGGGCACAGATTATGAACTCAGCTGAAAAGTACGAAAATATGGGCTGATATAAACGATTGCAAACGAATGACTTTGTTTTGGTGGAGCAATTTTGTGAATATAACAGTGGCCATGCGCAGGACGCAGCTGGAGTATTTGAGCCATTACCGCTGCGTCCTCTCTGCTCATAGAATGCCCGCAAAGCTGAGTCCATAAATGACGTCATATATGTGGACACTGGATCTTTTTTCAGGCTTCCCGCAATTTGAATTTTTAGGAAACCCACATCTTGATTCTGGGTTTAAAAATGCATTGTAATTACTGCGTTACTGACAGTTGTACCGAGTAAATAATACCATTTTCTTTCCCTGTAATGCCTTACATTACCACATTACAGCAAAAGCAATGCGTTACAGTAATTAATTACTTTTGTACCGCGTTACTCCCAACACTGTTCCAGCCAGATACCTGCATCATGGGGTTGATGAGCTGAGGAGGAGACGTTTTGTTCATCTTCATCATAATAATGACAACATTAGATGACAACAGGTGCTCTCATAGGTTTGTGCTGCTGAACGCGTCTGAGCAGCTTGACCACGTTGTTGTGTGTCGGGGAGGAAAAATAAAAACTACAGCAGCCACAGAGTCATGCTGATTTGAGCATGTCGCTGCTCGCTGGAGTTATATCAGCTCTGTCTGGAAGTTAGTTGGAAAACTTTCTCTTTCAGTCGTGAACACATTACTGAGCAGTTAAAATCTCCGTTTCTGGGCTTCAACGTCGGCAAATAGCTCAGTAAAGTCGGCGCTGAGTGAGAGGAGTGTTTAGTTTGTCCGAGACAGCGGAGCTTCAGACACCAGCGGACGCTGGAAAAACACAAAGGAGGGGGCGCTTTGGCTCTGTGCTAATGCCACAAAGCATCATGGGAGTTGTAGTCTTTGCGGTAAAATCGGCCAGCGGATCGGTTTTAATATATTTTTCATATTTATCTCGCAGGCCACATGAAAATGCTCCGCAGGCCAGATGTGGCATCTTACCTGCATCAGACAGCAGTCGGAATACCCTCAGCATGGAAACATTTACTTTTGTTCCTCTTCAAACTGTACAAAACTGCTGATGACTGTAAAGTTACCTTGAACCTTGAATATTACGCTAGATGCTCAGTATCGGCTAAACCATAGGCGTCATTTTAACCGGGGACGCTGGGGACATGTCCCCGGCAAAATTTGTAATTGGCAGCTTTGTCCCCCCCACTTTCAAAAAAGCCTGCTGATGAGGATTTTTGTTTTACCAGCTCAGATCTTTTACCAGGGGTCGGCAACCTGTTCCCATCAAAGAGCCATTATTACCCGTTTCCCACAGTAAAGAAAACACCGCAGTAGCCGCAGCGTTGTGGGCGGGGCCTACCCTCAGACAGCAGCGCGCTGCTCACAACAGGTGACAGCAGCCGGTACCATGGACATCGCACCCGTGGGGGATTCAACACCCACACTTTTCCAGCTGTTTTGCTCACCTCCACACCAGTCTGGTTTCTTTACGTCACACTCACTCTGTTTGCCTCATCTCCTTCTTCACCTCCGCTTCTGACAGCCGATGTCGGGTTTCCAGGAGAGCAGGAGAGGGAGGGACGGAAGAGCTCGACTGAATAATTTTACATCTTGACATTAGCTGTACAAAGTCTGAGTTTGATAAAGTGAATAACAACAATTTGCAGAGGTTATAACAGGCGCGGCGCCAGGTTTTCATTTTTGGGTGCATGGGCCAAGGTAATTTTGGACGGACCTTAATAAGCAGAGACTTAGTGAAGCAGGCAGGTCGCGCTAGAAAATTTTGTTTAAAAAGACGTCATAAATGTTTCCCCGTCATTTTTATTTCTAAAATATGAAGTAAAAACTCACAATTTAATTTTCATTCATTTGTCATTAATATGTAGTCTACACCCGTGCGTTAAGTGGACCAACTTCCAGTAAATGCAAAGCATCCAGCCCACCTCTCCAAATGCGTAAAATGTGCATCAGCCGCTAGTTAGGCGTGCCGTGCGCACCGTCAGCTATCGGCCCAGACAAGAGCAGAGCAACTAGAGAAAGAATAGAGGATAATTGTGTCTGGATGTGGATGGAGATTACATTTTACAGCAGCCTGATCATCATTTAAATACGTAAACCATCACCTGTCTTCTAGTCCACGCTATCAGCATTATTTTAATTGGTGTGTGTGTGTGTGTGTGTGTGTGTGTGTGTGTGTGTGTGTGTGTGTGTGTGTGTGTGTGTGTGTGTGTGTGTTTCCACTTCAAACACTGGTCTAACCAACCAGACCAGCGTGTCCAGTAACATATTAATGTTACAATTAAACAGTTTCCCTTCATGTAGGCTAGGAACGTTTCACCTGCCGTGGCCCGACCTCTTCTGCTCCACATAAACTTTGTGCGTAATCAAATGTCTCTACGCATCATGCGTCTCCATATTGGAGACGGGAACAAGCGCTGTTCAGCCAAAGTTTCATAATTTCATAAAAAGAACATTTTTCCAAGTGACACATCCCTCAGAGAGACCGGGTTTCCAGACTGTTTCAGTGGGAGGAAATCTTATCGCATGCGCCGGTTCTGCACTGCGCTGCGAACCCCAGATCTTCAGCTCACTGTCCACTGTGCGCTCCGAGCCGCGCGGAACAGTCCAGTATAAAGCTCTGATGTTCTGATGGGAATAATTTACCTCCGCGATGTGTGTAACGATTAAAATGTCAGCTCATCCATGCGCATCAGTGTGCGTCGGGGTAATTCTTTCAAACCAAGCAACATCCTTGAGTTCATCTGTCAAAATAAACAGTCAAATGGAAATATCTGTAACCTGCCGTTTAACTGTTTTGCCTTCCTGTGAAGATTGTTGCAAAGAGAAACAATTAAACTTGATTAACCCCAGAGCCACCCAGAGAACCAGAGCGCATGTGGGAAGGTTCCTCCCACTGAAGCGAGTGTTTTCCAAACCCGGTCTCTCAGAGAGACTTGTCACTTAGAAAATGTTCCCTGATTATGAAACTTTGGCTGAATAGCGCTTGTTCCTGTCTCCAATGTGGCGACGCATCCAGGAGCCGTCTGAGGAGAATTCCAGAATCTCACATTGTCTTCAGCTCATAAAGCGCATATGATTACGCACAAGCGTGACGCGTCAACCCGGTCTCACAGTAAGACCGGGTTGGACCTGCTCAGGTTTACGCAGACAATCTTTACATTTAGAATTAGCTTGCAGATGTAAAATTAATGCAGTAAAATATAAAGCATTTTATTTAAATATCCATTCATTATTTTACAAGCACAGATGTCAGATGGATGGAAGAGCCGCATGCGGCTCCAGAGCCGCGGTTGCCGACCCCTGTGCTAGCCTACTTTATTGTCCCCAGCAATTCTGAAAACAAACTGACGCCCTTGGGCTAAACCATGGTTAAACCATTCTTTTATTGTATTGTGAATCATTACCTGTTTACAAAATGCATTCAGCTTTACAGTGACTGCAGGAAGTCAAGTTTAGACATTGTAAAACAGACTTCCTGTCTCGAAGCGACACATCACTAAACCATAAACATGGTTGCATGGTATCTAAAGCACCAGTAGTCGTTTAATACACAGCTTATTTTGAAAATGGTCTTCTAAAAAAACATAATAATAACGTAGTAATAACAAAATAAGGGTGGGTTTTGTACCACATATATAAAAAAAAGTCTTTTCATGAATTTTCTTCAAGGCACAAGCCCACTTGGACTGTTCGTCCAGAAGCCAGAGTTAAGGTGCTTTGGGGTCCTCTGGAGACTCTCGAGTCCCACTTCAGAGGGTGATTTGAGTACAGTGGTGCTTGAGCTTGCAGGGCAGGGTCCCTCGATTTAACTGGTAAAACTCCACCAACTGGATCAAGTCTGTGAACTGAGTGTGGCCATCATCCAAACTGTAGAACACCTGCCCTTCATCATCCACCTGAGGGATATAATCATGAAAGTCATAAACTTTTATCCAATTTACATATGCAACATGACCTAAATGGAATAGGCTGAAGTAAATACTTATTATGGCTAACCCGATTAACATTCTATGAAAAACAGACACAAACTTTTATAATAAACCAAATCTGGTATCGAACAGAGATATTAGCTAATATTTAAGATTGTTTTAAACATAAAAAATCTGTCTCACAATGAACATGTTTAAGTAATTTATTTTCAACTAAATCATGATTTTTAATTCATTACATCTGCTACACGGATCTGTTTCAAACGCTGTTCACTGATTTCTAGCTTTATTCATCCTGAGCTATACATTTCTGAACTTGATTTAATTTAAACATCTTTTTAAATGTTTTTACTGTTTCGGCCTGTTTTAACTGATCTTCCAAGTCATTCCACAGACTAACTACTCTTACAAAAATTCATCAACCTTTTAGTTCTAGCTTTTATTTTTTTAAAGATGCTGGTTCATCTGAAGTTATACTGACTATTCCTGTGTTCCAAAAGCCTCTGGATAACAGGTCTGTCAGGGGATCAGACTTAATCTATCCCGGTTTTTTATTCTACACATCGTATCAGTGACTTCAGACAAATAAAATGATAAAGATTTTTCTTGACCTAGAAGAACAAGACATCAGACAAATGATCTATGAGTCAGAATCACTCGTGTTTTATGAAGAGAATGACGTCACAGGTGAAGCTTAAACACAAGTGTTGAGTGTGGTAAGGTTTTCTGAAGTTGGAAACAAAAAAACTACAAAAATAAAATGATGCATGAATGGCTGGGTGCATTTGTGCAGCTGTGTCCCCAAAGGGTGGCCAGGGGTGCCCAAGGACCTCCATTAACGTTTTCTGAGGGCACCACTGTATTTGTGGCATTTAATTAGTTGAACACAAAGTGTTTTATAATCAAAGATATGCTTTACTCACAGGTAGAATCTGAAAGTGTTTGATTTTCTGCATGTGGCAAAGCGACAGAACAAATGTCTTTGGGTTGCTTTGGCTGTCCCTCAGAAGAAACACTCTGAAACAAGAAAAAAAGGCTTATCACTGCCATTTAATCAATCAATCAAAGCTTTATTTATAAAGCGCCTTCCGCAACCCTGTCAGGAAGCCCAAAGCGCTGACATTTAGCATAAAACCAATGCACAAAATGCCATGATACAGCCATTTTGTATCAATAACAGTTAAAATACCATAACCCTCTCAGGCTCAAAGTAAGTTTTGATAAAAGGATGAGCAACTAAGTCCTTCAGGGGTACTTCTGAGTTAAAAATGCTCATGAAATACGTATGTGGAGTAACCAGGTAGGTAGGTTTTTACCCTCTGGTGTTGCAGATTTGCAACGTTAAAACCTACCTACCTGGTTACGCCACATACGTATTTGATGAGCATTTTGTAACTCAGTAGTACCCCTTAAGAACTTAGTTGCTCGTCCTTTTATCAAAACTTATTTTGAGCCTGAGAGGGTTAACTGTTGCATATCTGCAACGCCTGCCTCCAGAGGGTTAAAAAAGAAAATGTGTGGGGGGAAAAAAGCAGAAAACGTACCCATCAATGGGACCCTGATGGGTTATTAGACGCTGAGCCTCGTCTCGAGACAGTTTACCATGAAACCATGGCTGGGACAAATGGATTGCTGATGCATAAAGATGAAATATTACAACTTTTTTGTCATTTTGTGAATAGTTCAAGAAGAATTTGACAAACCTAAGCTTGACACTGAACTCTGAGTAGCAGAGGGGCTCCCATGACCGCTCAAACGGTGGCAGCTTCTTCTCTAAAAAAAAAGGGGGGGGGGGGGGGGTGGATCCTGTTTTATGTTTTGTGGCAAATTTGAATTAGGAGCACTTTATCTTAACATGCCAGGTAAAAATCTTCCCACCCTCCATGACAGTCCTTCCTCCACAGCCACAGACAGAGCCTCAGACGGGTTCTCGATCACACGAGTCTTTTGTCCAGAAAAGTCCATGGCTACCAGTGAATTCTCGGAGGTGCTCCTCTGAAATGACAAAGATTTTGCACGTGTATAATCTGTTATTGCTTTATTTTTTCCTTTGGCCGTTTAACACATTTTTACACAATCATTGCAGAAAACTCTCAACACATTTCTTATTTTCATCCACTTTCCATCCTGGATTGTGAAAAGAAATGACAGATTTTCCTGCTTCAGCGTTGTATTCTATTCACATCTAGCGTCGGACTTGCCATAACTCCATCCTAATCTTTCCAGATGATTTCTGACAGTAAATTCCATTGAAAAGCGGATTAGAGTGGCTTGGGAAAGAATGACACATGGTCACATTTTAGTCCTTTAAGCTGTCATGAAGTGAGTGGCTTTAAATAACTGCACACAAGCTTAAGAGAATTCTTCTTATGGGGATTACCTTCAAGCTTTTAAATTACAAGTTTCATAGATGTGCCACCTACTCAGCTTGCAATTTAAAGCAGTGCTCTAAATAAAATGTTTTATTTTTATTTCATTATAGCTCTTTTTATCTTGTCCAACCCACATCTGATGGTGTAAGCACGAATCAGCTCTTTCTGATTTGGATGAACTGGTATTGTGAGAACGCAGCAATGCTCTGCATATGGCATGTTCGCACAATTTCCACATTTTTGTAGCAAATCCTCCCGGCAAGCCAGGTGGGCACATATGGCTCTACGGCAGCAGAAATGAAGGGATGAGCTGTCAAATGTCAGAGCAGCTGATCGTTGTGTATTTTTAGAAAGCAACAAGTTCCCGAGCATGTCCATGATCATAAATAGATTTAGGTTTTTTTTGTTCTCCTATGTGAAACAATTCTGGACAACACAACTGACAGTTTTTGGTCCCATACAACCATTACTTATCTACTATGACTATTTTTAACAACCATTTAATGTAATGTAATTAATTTAATCTAATGAGAGTGAATGTTCACTGATAAACGGTGCACAGGAGCAAATACGTTTGATTAATGAATATAAAAATCATGATTATAAGCCTTTTTTGTTCATGAATGCTGTATAAATTCAGGAAAGTGTAAGAATGTTTCGATCTGTACTTGTCCCGTCAATGTTCACACGTGTATCTGACAGCAAGAGGTTTTCTGCAGAAGACGCACTCTCACAACATGACATATGAAGGAGAGGATCGACTGCCTACAGCATGCAGAAGGATGAACATGACAGTGTAGAGACTGAAGGTGCATTTTTATTTTGTTTGGATTTTTTTTAAAAATAGGAATGATGAATGGAGTTGTTAATGTTAAAGTATATGAACAAATCCACAATATTAAAGAGCAAGAGCAGGTTTCACTTAAAGCTGTGATCCATAGTATGAGGTCATCAAGGGAAAGAGAACAAGGGGCATTTCTCAATGTCAAGGAACCTTGCCTTGATGCCTTGGTCCTGCCTTGGTTCCATAGAAGATACACCACGCAGCTTCTGGGACTGGTTTGAAACACTTCATAGGCTATTATATATATTCATATATATATATATATATATATATATATATATATAGTGGAAATGAACTATGCGACCAGGATTTGATAATGAGAGCTTTTACTGGTTATACGAACACCTCCCACGTCACAACTGTGTCTGTTAAAGTCCATCTGCAGCATAACTCAATCATTGGATCAACTGATCGACATATACATACATATATATATATATATATATATATATATATATATATATATATATATATATATATATATATATATATATATATATATATATACATACATATATAGGGACTCACTGATACCGATTCCAGTATTGGTACAGATATCTGTATCGGTATAAGTTAACTGTATCACTGTAACTTGACATTTCTGTTCACCTAATATTTTAGTTTTATGATCATTTCTATTAATATACTTTATTTCTTATCTACCTCACAGTCTTTTCCTGTTGAAAGCAAAGAAGAAAATAGAACACATATTCTAATTCATTGCATTTTTTGGTGTGGTAGAAGAATCGGTATCGGTAATTGGTGTCGGTGAGTCCTCAGATCCAAGTATCGGTATCGGTTAGGAAGAAAGTGGTATCGCTGCATCTATATACATACATATACATATACATATATATATATATATATATATATATATATATATATATGTATATATATATATGTGTGTGTGTGGGGGGGGGGGGCAATATCAATATTATATTTATTTATTTTTGTATTTTTTTATTTTTATTTGTCCAGTTATATCAAAACATTCTACCCTTTTATTTCCCATCCTTTGTCTAAATATGGTTTCTGCAAAAGGATTTTTGGGTGGTTACTACCAAATCTCAGAAATGTGGCTTTGATGAGCTCCCTTAAAAAGCTGAGATAAGATCTTAAGAAATAAAACAATATTGCCAGCTTACCATTGGTGAGGCTTTTTGCTTCTGGTGTGGCTGAATGAAATTTTTGTAAAGTTGCATCCCAAACTGAAAAATCAAACAAACATTGTTCGTGTGAATCCAATGACTCAAATACTTTAAGAAAAATTAAAAAAAAAAAAAAACAATCTTTTGTGCTCTACTGCTCATTTATTTTTTCCTGTTTATGGAGTAATGGGGTGACTAAAGCTCGAAACAGCTCCATCAGATCTCCTGACAATGAACACATGCTGCTTCTGTCAAGAGAGGGAATGCTAATCCAGCATCACTCGACAGTTTCCGTTGACCTCTTTCCAAAGCTAAATCTGATTCCAGCACTGACTCAGCATTCGTCCTCTTTAGATATCACCCAGAGTTATTCATCAGCAAGCCAACCTTTAACAAGCGCATGGCTGTGATCCAGCAGGTCCTGGTCAGCTCATCGTCCGCACAAAGCAGCTTCAAGTCACGAGCTGAACTGCACTTTGTATGCTGAAGTCACAAGCAGATGTAGAATGTCAGTAAATATGCTACCAGGTGATTTCTAACAAGTTTCCTTTTTATGGTAGCAAAGCCTGACCACCGAACATAAAAGTGGCACTACCTTGACGCAGAAGGCAAACTCTGAAGGTGCGCTGTGCAGCTTTTTGGCAGATAAAACCGTGTAGACGTCACTGTCACTGAAGTCAGCAAAAAACTGGAGATGCCTTGGTTCCTGTGTGACAAAGACAGTCCATGACAAAATAAAAGAGCAGTTTGATTGTGATTTTGAGATGCAAATATTGTATGTCGTTTGGGCTTGCTTTTAGCACCCCCTAGAGTCCATTTGTTGAAACAAACACAAATTGTCCTTGCTGTGCATCCGTCTTTTTAACGCCTTTATCTAACATCTGAAAAGTCTCCCCAGCCTTCCTTGGTGTCTACAGGTGTCAGCATCACTAAATAAGATAAATCAGCTGTTTTCATGAACTAAAACATGCAGAAAACATGCTGGAAGCAGACTGTCACAATAAAGCAGCCACATAAATGACCACAGGGGGCAATGGGGGCTGAGTGTCCTTTCATTAACCCTGTAAATGGCTTTTTAGCACATCTGGCTCAAGAAAATTATTTAAAAATAGGACAAATTTGCAAAGCATCCCTTTAAACTGTTTTTTTACATCATTTCATCTGTTAAAGCGATGCTTCAGGTCTCATGAAGGGCATGTCTGCAGAACGTTTGTGAGCAGTTCTGATTTTGCCCATCGTATAAAACTCTTTGAACTATGTCAGTTTAAAAAAAATGTTTATTTTGACCCAATTTTGTTTATCAGTTATTTTACCAGGTTAAATATTTAATAAAAAGACACGTTTACATTTAAACACACTGAAAGCATAAACAACTACTCTGTACTGAGATAGATTTCAAAGAAAAAAAAAAAGAAAACCTCAAAGACTTCCATTGTTCTGCTTTCATGTGACAGTATGTTCCCACTTCCTTATTTAAAGTAATGTTTCAGCCATTAATGCCTGTGCTGACTGAACAGCGATGTGTTTGACCAGGACACCAGATGAATAGTAAACACGCCGAATGAAGAACAGGCGCCATTCTAAACCTACCTGCACTGGAGGACAAAAGGTCTACTGTTGTAGAAAATGAAAGCAGATGAAAAGTGGTTGTGCTGGCACGACTAGTGCCCAGGTATAAGAGTCACTCGGCAGCAGCTCTGAGAGTAAGGTTTCCACCTCAGCTGCTATGGCAGCTGACCTTAGAAAAACCATACTCTGTTCCTTTAACACGAAGTATGTAAAAATAAACTAAAAGTTCCACAAAATACTTTTATTTCCGTATCATCAAGTGTTTGGACTAAGCATACTAATAAAAGGAAACTCATTTCAAGTTACAAACCTTAGAAGTTCCCTTAGTGGAGAAATAAAGTCCTGATCTCCGTAAAACAAAATAAAACTTCCTCCAGGACTTCTTGCTTTGCTCTTTGACGTGAAGAAACCCATGGATCTCTGGGCAGGTGCTGGACTTGAGGAAAGTCTGAGAGATGAGTGTGTTCAGTAAAATTACTTCCTCTGAAAAGTACATAAGGTGTGTGAAAATACTTACCTCAATCAGCTCAGAGTGAGCCACCATCCCATTAGTTTCAGTAGACATGGAAACCATGTGATCTGGGAAAAAGTCCTACGAGATTCAAATGAATATTTATCTCTCATACGTGGAGGAAATGTGTGCAGAGACAGAGGATTTGTCTGGTCTCGTCTCAAACTCACAAGAGGTTTCTTGAATACTTCGTATTTGGCATAATTCTTCCTAAAATAAAGACGATTGTCTGAGTCCATGCCGCTGCCTGAGAGAATCTCCATGACATACTCGTGATCTTCGATGGTTCTTTCTGGGGAAATTTAAAGATAAAGAGGAAAATTAAGGAAATATTCTTTTTTCCACCATTTTCTAACAATCAGCATGATTTAGACATGGTATAAAAATAATACTGGAATATTTCATGACAGAATCCATATGCCAATTTTTTTTTTTACTTAACTGCAAACCTTAATATTAATATGAATACAAATTTTACTCTTTTTTTGTTGGTATTTTCAAACTAAAGTATTTGCTAAATTTGTGTGTTAAAGGGGACATATTATGCTTAATAACCCTTTTTGTCCTTTTGTGCTGCCATGTGGGTTTCTACTGTTTCTATAACTCTCCAAAGGTTAAAAATAAATAAATAAATAAATAAAACACCTGTCCAGGCTTTTCTGTGAGTGTTTGGTTTTAGGAATTATGTGTCTGAAATGAGCCATTTAAAAAATTCCCAGTTTGTGATGTCACAAACGGGAAAGCAGAATAGAACCACCTCTCATATTCGGAGCAGCTCTACCCTCAGCCCCTCCCAGATATCTGAACTTCTCTGCTAATTGTTGCCTGAGCGGGGGAGGAGTTTAGTGCTGCCTGCTCCTTTTTATTTTATTTACAGTGACAGAGCCCTGAAACAACTCATTCTGGAAGGTACTGAAAATGTAATGAATAAAACTGCTAAAATCGCTTTGTGTGAGAGGGACTTAATGCAAAAAGATTTCATCAGCGTGTTTAGTATTGACCAAAGAACTATTATAATCTAAGAAAAAAAGTCACAATACGTCTCTAAGTAACATCATGATTTAAAAGTAAACATAGAGGTACTGAAGTAAATTATTTTAATCCAACATTAGATAAAAAGAATATATGCTGGGCAAAACGATCTACACATTTTTTATGTTGTGCAATAAAATAAATCCGACCAAATTTTTCATGTCACATTACTGTCTACATTAAAATGCAAATATCTGCTGTTTTCCTGATATCAGACATTTAACATTCTTATTCCACAGACTAAATCTGCTGCAAAAGTTAACCTAAATAAAAAAAAATAGTACCTATTCCCAGATGTGTGAGGTGTTCAACCAGAGTCCAGCTGTGGTCGTCGATGCAGTGATTCTTCAAGACAAACAACTGGCATATGTCCAGGGCAGTGACATCCGTGGGCACCTCCACAGCTTTGCTGGTGTTGTTTTCATCATAAATTTTAATTACCTAAAACAGAAACATTCAAACACAAATTAGGTGCGGAAGCATGGCACTAACGCAAAGAACTTCCAAATTTAATGCCTAAACAGTTCCAGAGTTACAACTCTGCAAAAACAAATGATTGTGCAAAACATAAACATAAGCATAGAACATTTGATTTTTGCTGGAAATCCTTTAGTTTTTATGCATTTCTGTGTGTAAATCAGAAAGGAGTTGCATGATAAACATCTTATTAGCACCACTATAACGTCAGCTCAGACTAGCTTATTTGTCTCACCCTGCCTGTTTTCCTCCAGCCAGAAATCACTCTGCTTAATAACCTCACAGGGTGGAGAAAAATCTCCACATGGCTGCAGATCTCTTGTGTTCACATTCACACATAGCCAGTGGATCTTTTTGTAAAAAGTACTGATGTGCTGGATAAATGTAATGTTAGCTGTGTGTTTTATTATTATTATTTTTTTCATCAGACTGCTTCAGGCCAGGTGAGAAGAATCTGACATCATTAGAGTGAGAAGAAACCAGAGCCATTGAACTGGGCTGGAGTCTGGCTTCTTAAGCAGTCATTAAGAAATAGATGCCTCCAGCCTTTTTATGCAAAGTGTGGGGAGTTCAATCAGCACAAATCCAGAAGTTGTATCATTTAAACAAATCAAAACAGCTTCAGATTAAGAACATTTCAATATAAATATAATTCAACATTATAAAAACAAATTTGGAAAATTAAATGGGCAATCAAAAGCACTAATTAGAAAGTTATTTTGTTTAATAAATGATGTGTTTTTGCATGTCCGGATACTAACATTTTGCTTACAGCTCTTCTAAAATGTAAAAATGTACACACAATATACAAATTGGCCAAAATATTTTCAGTTCTATCATAAAACTGCATTTTTCATACATTTGCAACATTGACTGCAGGTTATTGCAGTTCTATAATCAGTAAAGATAATCAGTATGTCAGCTGATCTTGTGTAAACAAAAAAAAATCCTCTATATGTGAAACAAGTAAAGCTGCTAAAATGCTGGACATAGATGTAAAAACACGTTCTGAACATCAAACTGCACCAAAGCAAAGTACAAAAGTTACAAGGTTTAGGTTCTTTGCACTACTGAATCAAGCAACATGGAATATGTTTTGGACAAAAACAGCAAACAAAAAAGAATTTGTTGTTTTGTTTGGTTCAGAGATAAAAATAAAGGCTAGGACTGTTTGAAGCTTCATATTCTGCAATATTCAGAAATTGTTTAGAAGTTTTCCAAGGGGAAAAATGTTCTAGTCCAGGGGTGTCAAATATGTGGCCCGCGGGCCAGATCAGGCCCGCACACAGTTTAAATCCGGCCCGTGAGATGATTGTGTAAACCTCATTTTCAGACTTTACAATGTAAAGTCTGAAAATAAGCTTTCATTTTTCAATTAAACTGCTGGTGAAAGCTAAAAGATGTCAGGTATCAGGAGTCAAAGACATGCATGAAACTGATACAGCCATGTGATCTGTGAATCAGTTATTTGAATTACTGAGGAATAGTCTGGGTTTTTTGTTTTGTATTTCACATTTTTAAATACACTTCAGGTGTTTTATTATTAATAGTGATGTTGTGCTTAAACTATTTTGGATACGCCGTCCTCAGGCTCCAGCCTTGTTTTGTGTTGATCGTATTAAAACAAAAGAAAACAATCTGAAGCAGTTTATAATTTATACATACTTTAATTTTACTGGTCTGGCCCACTTGGGACTAGATTTTCCTCAATGTGGCCCTTGAGCAAAACTGAGTTTGACACCCCTGTTCTAGTCCACATACAACGAGCTTTATAGTGTGCAAAAGAGCACTTTCAGGTTTTCAGAACAAAAGTCAGATTTGTGGGATCCCTGTGTACGTGCTGATGCAAAGAGAGTTCTGACAGAGGTGAGGGGGGAAGGAACACGGGGAGACGCAGCGGTACATTACGTGCCGTAAGTCTGACAAGGCAGAGTATGTCCAGACCCTTACTCCACAGCACTAAATATAGTCTCATTGAACACAAACTCCTCTATTAGACCTTCTTATCTCAAGGACAGTACAGTGTGTGCCATTTTGCCAATTAGCCTCCTAAGGTTGAACCTTGAAGTGCACTCCCGCAGCTGTGGCTTCGTCACTGAGTGGCTGTGAGGAGTTGGCCTCCAGGCTAAATCAGCAGAAATGTCCTCCCAGCTCCCCGCTGTCAAAACACTGGGAAAAAATGACGGTATCAGATTCCTGCAGGGCTTCCTGACCAGGTACCACTAATACCAGCCAGTGGTGTTGCCAGCTGCTCTAACTGCTAACACCTGTTCGGTGCAAATTACTGGAAAGGAGCAGGGAGGGCAGCACAATCAGCGTGCAGCATGAGATGAGTAACAGCAGCAGACGTTCAGCTGTAAAAGGGAGCTGTGGTGTTGCATGTAAAAGTGGGACTGGGGTGTGGAGCATCAGGCCTGGTCCTCAAGGGTCACTATACCTGCATGTTTTCTGTGTTTCCCTGCTTCAACTCGTCAGGTTTGAATCAACAGGATTCTTCTGAGGCACTTCAGGACAGACTGAAGGGTTGATTTGGTCATTCAATCAGGTGTGTTGGAGCAGGGAAACAGCTAAAACATACACGTTTAGTTGTTGCCCTGCAAAACCGGCATTTAATTTCCCAAACTGAGGAAATTAGTCAGTTTATTTATTTATAACATTTTTACAAAATGCTTCAAGCTATCATTTAATGAGTTATTTTAAAACAGTTTTTGAAGAATGCGAGCACTGCTTTTGCATTTTTACTGCAGAAAACAAATAAAGTCAGAGTTTTATTGTTGAATCTTGTAATTTTCCCAATAAGGCTTTAATTATGTTGGACTTACATGGCTCATGTCTCTGACATTACTTTGTGTAAAAATCATTATAGTTATATGTTTTTTTAAATTTTGAATCAATAGTTTACACGTTTATCAGTTTTTTTCCAATTATTTAAAATTTATTACAGAATTAAAGCATTTAAAATAGAAACATTTAATAAACAGCTTAAATTCTACACAGGAAATTAAAGCAGGATTTTCAATACAAAACAGGAAAACACATCATACTATCAGGACTTCTACATGGATGTGTGACTCTTACCCGCTTCTGCAGACAAAGAGGTGTGATGGCAGGCAAAGTGACTCTTCTAGCATGGAAATTCATGCTTCTGTCTTAAATGTGCAATCAGCTACAAGATGAACATCCATCAATACAGTAACTAAACCAAATTATCACCTTTACAATCTAATCAGCACAAGATGTTTTTTGCATCTTAACCCTACTGCATCCCAGAGAACTCTCTAACTCGTGAGCGTCGCTTGACCGAAGTGTGAGAAACGGATTTGTGTTTCCTCCCCACAAAGCAAACTCCTCCTTTGTCCTTGAAAATGTTAAATCTATCCTTTTAGAAAAGGAAGCTCCCATGAACAAAACAAAGCAGATAAATGTTTTTTCTCATAGTGAATGGAGCTGATATTTGCAGCACAAAGCCAGGGAGACGGCAAAAGTCAACGGTAAAGCAACAGTGTGAAGATGTTAAAAACAAACAGACACGAACCTAAAGTTTGACACGTATCAGATTGTTTTGCTGACTTTGTCCCCAGACACCAGACAGCTATTTTTAGTCCCTGACACATGATACATTTCACAAAGCAAACATTATTGAGTGTGTCCATGAAAAACTTTCTATAATGCAGTGTACTTTGAAACATGGATATTTACACCAGTCATCAGTGGAGATAACGTTTACTACTGGAACCACATTAAACTAATCTACTGGCTTCAAATAACAGTCTTTTTCTCATTATTTAAAAACATTTCTGCTTTATTAAATGCAGGCATTGTTTTATTGGTTGTTAGACGTAGCCCTGAAACAAAATACCGTAAAACCTTTAAACTTTACACAATTTGATAATAATTCATCTTTTATCTACAATAAATCCATCTATCCATCCTCTGTAGCCAAAGACCAACCATTCCTTCCATTCATTTGTCTGTCAATCCATCCATCTATGCACTCATCCTCAATCCAACCATCCTTTCATTATGTCATCCATGCATCAATCAATCAGTCAACCAATTCATCAGCATATCAATTAATCTGTCCATCCATCATCAAAAATCTATCTATCTATCTATCTATCTATCTATCTATCTATCTATCTATCTATCTATCTATCTATCATCTATCATCTATCTATCTATCTATCTATCTATCTATCTATCTATCTATCTATCTATCTATCTATCTATCTATCTATCTATCTATCTATCTATCAATCTATCTATCTGTCAGTGTGCCGCAGGGCAGCTGTAGCTACATCGTAGCTCATCACCATCAATGTGTGAATGCATGTGTGAATGGATGAATGATACACTGTAGTGTAAAGCGCTTTGGAGTCCTTACTCTGAGAGGCGCTATACAAGTGCGGGTCATTTATCATTATCTACTTGTCTTCAGTCCATTAGTTTTTCCATCCATTCTTTCATCCATTCACGTTTTCATCCTCCATTGATCCGTTTGTATTTCTTTCCCTCCCTTACACAAATTATGAATAAACTTCCCCTGTCCAGATTTTGTGACTAAACAAAACTTTCAGCTCCTCCACATAGCTTTAAGTTGAGACTCCCGCCCGCCTGGACCCAGAACATCCAGAACTCCCTAAACAGTGTTACAGACTGAAACAGAGTTCCTTTGGTTCGCGTAAGTCAACAATGCAAAGGTAGCTAAAGTGTTGTCCCAGTTATTAGCCCACTCTCTATATGATTAGATGTAATTTCGTGCACTCTTTTATCCTTCCAATACAGCAACCTGCCAGCACTGTTTTGATTACAATCGACCTTGAATATAAAACAGAAGGAAATGTTCAGTGGGTGAAAAATAAAGAATGAGACAGAAAGAGGAGTAGGAGAGAATTGTGGAACAAAAGTTAATACTTTACAGTAACTCTGCCGTAGGTTGGTGTAGTTATATGCACTTTTATTTCAAAATATACAATTAAAAGTATACGCCTGGTTTTAAATGCAAATGCTCTGGTTTAGAAAATTGTTTCACAAAAACCAAACAAAAACTTTGCATGACTGAAGTCTTTAAAGAGTGCAAAATGAGCTCAATTTCATTTGTGTTAGCACATTTCTTTACGTTACAGAATTTGGAGGAACTGCTTTTGTACTCTCACTAAACTCATGAGAACAGACAGGGAATGAGGAGCCTCCCACAGCAGGCTTCAATCTTTATCTGAAAACAGCACACTGATTTGTGAAAGCACAGACAAGTAGACGCTGCTAGTTATCACACTCAACTAAAATGAATTGGAATTAATGGAGCCAGAACGATAACGGAGTCTCCACAGCTCCCATAACAAACCATACCTCCAGACACATTGTCCTGGACCATGGCGGATTTAACTAGGACCCCCCCTGCAGACTTGATGAGGGTGAAACAGCAACCAGCGGCACGTACAAAAAAGGGTGACAAATCAAAAAGAAATTCCTGAATCACTGACCCCTGCCGGAGGAGGAACCAACTCCCTTTTTTCATTTCATTAACATTTACTGCTTGTTTTTCAGTTTTCACTGTTACTCACTGGTGAAACAATTATATTCCATTTATTTAGGGAATGGGGTATTTCAGTGATGAGATATATGGGTAAATAAATTATTTGCTGAGTGTAAGAAAAGCATGTAATCCAAAGCTGTGACTTTTTTCTTCAGTCATTCAGTCTCTGCATTGTTGATACAAGCACCCTGTTTTTTGCCTATCTGAATAAAGCTTCATGAAATGTTTCAAAAGTAGCATTTTCCACACCATGGATGTAATTTTCACTTTAGAAGGGGGGGGGGGGGGGGGGACACGGGGGAGGGAGGAGGGGGGAGGGGTATCTTTACAGTATGCTCTAATGGGAAACAGGCTTCGACACAAACGTTTGTTTTCCGCTTGGTCCTAGAGCTCAACCAGTGTCAATTTAATATAGCGTAATATTGTTTTGGATGGTGAAAAGTGCAGGGGTCAAAACTCGACTTTGGAAAAAGTGGGGGGGGGACATCTCCCCCCCCCCCCCCCCCCCCCCCCCCAAATTACGTCCATGTTCCACACTGCTTTGGTATTTAAAACCTGTTTTAATACATTTGTGAAAATAGCCCTATTCTCTTCATTTTGGCCAAAACATCTGGAAACCACCTACCGCTCCACAAGGTCTCCAGATGACAACATATCAAAATACACAAAAAATACTTTAAAAGCCAGATCGAATTTTTTTCTGTTCTGTCTCTCACATTTGAAGTGTACCTATGATGAAAATTACAGAACTCTCATCTTATAAGTGGGGAAACCTTGTACAATTGGTAGCTGCCAAGTACATTTATTGCCTCACTGTAAATAAATACCCACGAAAAAAATACCAGTAAAATATTCAGCATTTTCAATTATTTTAAGGCACAGCAATAGTGGGAATGAATGCCGCCACATCAGCATTAAAAATAAAAATTAAAAACTCCACACAGACAGTCAAAAATAGCTTTTTATAAATATGAGCTCTTGCTTATGGTTTGTTTCCCTCTAACTAAATTCAGTGCAAATGCTGCGTAAAATCTGAGTTTTCAAAAACGACGAGGAGGGTGAGTTTGGTTTAAGACTAAGAGGAAGATAACCTGCTTGGATTGGTTTGCAGGACTAACCTAACAAATACAAAGAAAATGCCTGACAGATAAATCTGAAAGTAGTTAACCTGAACAGGAATGACAAATTGCAAAACTTCGAAAAACAGTAAAAGGAAATGCCCTGAAATAAAACTAACTAAGCTAAAACTTCAATATGTCCCTACAGCAACTCACTCCTCAAAGAAGAAGCAGGAGAAAATGTGCTGGCCATGTGATGGTTGGTATAAGAGAAGCGTCCTACCACAAAACCCATGAGTTAGCTGCAGCACTGACTGAGAAACACCCAAGGGACAGGCACGCTTGTTATTGTGAATGCCTGAATCACTTTCACAGCCCAGGGTGTACAGTGAGTGTACTCAGACAGAAAAAAAATGGTGCTCAACCTCCTGGACTTCATCAGAGGAGACTGACGGCAGCTCAGCCCACTGGGGCAAGGGTATCAGTTTGGACCGAGCAGGAACATATAGCACTCACAGTGAACTGATAAAGCTTGTTGAAGTTTGCTTATCTTTCTGTTGTTGTCAAGCAGAAATGCTGGGGAAAGTCATCAAATGAGCAACCCAAAGCAGTTCAACAAAGGAGAATGATGCCTGAAGATCTTCTAGATCCCAAGGAAGAAATAAGAGTTGTCAGTGAAATCGAATCATTTCGGCACAGTTTGATTAAAAGATTTGATTCAAAGTCAGCACGTGTTCCCTGATAAGATCAACTTTCAGTAGCGATTTCCTTGTGCCCAGCTGTGATTTCTAAAAGAGAAGCATCGGCTGTGCTTCAATCAACACAAGATCTGTTTGATAAGCATTAAAACAAGTGGTACAAATCTGCCAAAAGGGCTTTGTTAAAGAAGCTCAAACGGTGGGTGCACAGGCTTCAGACGTTGTTCAAAATGGACTCCGTCATGCCCAAAATCCTGGAATCTGTCTCCCAAAGAGGCAAGTCCATGAGGCTGCAACATAAGGGAGCTCCCCGCTGTTACTGACGGATAAGATTACCAATAAACCATACCACACTGGGTTAGCTAAAGACACAACAAGCAATATGCTATAATTCAATTCAATTCAATTCAATTCAATAATACTTTATTAATCCCAGAGGGAAATTAGAGTTTCAGTACACACAATTCCGAGATCAGACATACGTACACACATAGATACATGACAAGAATTGGTGACTGTGGTCATTCGCAACCCGAGTCGAACTGCCTATCGCGCTAAAGTTCATCCAGTTCATTCATGCTTGTCAGCAGAATCTTACAAAGTGCATTAGCTTGACTAGTCATGAGCTATGCACCAGTCAATTTCATTTGAATCATGAAAGAGGGAGGCTGAGTCTGGTCTGCTTGCTTGAATAAAGTTTCCTCACTGCTGGAAGCAAAGATAAGCATCAGCCTCATAGAAGGATCCCGCCAAGTAACCACAAGTAATACGCCAGCAAGGCAGCCGCCTGAATCAAGAGGGAATGCAGAGACAGAGATGCCAGCATGGTTTGGAATGCTATTTCACGGATATGTTCATTCAAATACGACAGCAGGCCGGAGTTCAACAAACGCATCCCCCATGTGTTAACATACTTTGGGGAAAATGGAGAGTGAGTTCTGTTATTAAGTCTTGAAGAAGTTTCTATTGAAGATGGGGCATCTAAACTGGATGACACTGTTCTATGACAAAGTAGGTCTTTCACAGTTCGTATTTCCACCAAGTTCCTCCTCCCGCCTCCAGAAGAGGGAGCCAACAATTAACAAGAGTGTCTTCCCGTCAGCTTAGCACTCCGACGAAGAAGAAGTAGAAGCCGGAGACTCACAATGGAGCTACAAACACAAGTACAAAGAAAGGGATTCCTCAACTGCTTTCTACTTCTCAAGGAAAATTTTAAACAGTCCTGCAAAACTCGCCGTGAGATGTTTACAACAATTGAGTAGAATTTATATTTAAGGCGCTTTTAAAAGACGGAGGGAGCTTCGTGTTCTACTAGGGCTCAAAGCTGATCAAGAGTTGGAAAAGTTTCCTTCAAACAAGTAAAAACTATGTAATTTGTTAAATTTTAGGGAACTAAAACAATCACAAATGTATTTAAACAAAACAAAAAATAGTATTCCATGCTGTGTGTTCCATAGGCTAGTGTTAGCTTAAATGCTAACTCAACCCGGATTGAATTAATGTCAGTCTGTAAATTTCAATCAAACAGTAGAAGAGGAAAGAGGGGAATGAAAATGGATTTATCTTTTATGTATTGGAGCTAAGTGATTAGTGCAGCGCTCAACCTTAATACTGATTTCTAATTCTCTGTCAGCTCCTCAAGGGAGATACGTTTTGCTGTGGGACTTCGTCGTCTCCTGGGGAGTGTTGCAAAGCAATTCCCCGTCCAGGACAACAGAGGGCGTACTGTTGTTCTGTGGAATCCTGTCATGCATACAGTCCAAGATAGTGAGTTTATATTGTGGTATTTTTTTAGTATTTCAGAGACTTTTTAACAAGGACAAATTTGTTCCTCATTCTTCTCCACCTCTTATGCGCTCGCCACCTCTAAACTCACGTTTTCTGTCACTTCCACCCATGAATAAAACACTTGCTGCATTTCCTTTTACTCTTTCAGGCGTGGGTTAATAAAACATTCAGATTTTTAGACTTTTTGTGTGAGGTATTCTTCAAGCTGCTCCTTGTCTGCTGCTAGAAATCTTCGGCTCACTTTGTTTTTGAGGGCGCAACGGCGGTGTTGTTGATGAAAACGGCATCCAGACCAATGGTGCCCCCAAGGGGTGGCCAGGGGGGGCCCTGGCCACCACTAGAAAATTGCTGGCCCGCCCAGGAAAAGCCGGTGTTAACTCATTCACTGCCAGCCATTTCCTGATCAGGAAAACCCATCACTGCCAGCGTTTTTCGCCGTTTTTACAGTTTTTTTTAAGAGTCACAGAACGTTGAACGCTAGGATGATGTCGACGCCAAAACTAACAAAACAAAGAGGAGACTCACCTCTTTCATAACGCTTCAAGCGTTATCCATTCTTTCATAATCCGTTGTTGAATTGTGATCGGCAGAAGCTTTTCCGGTTCGTGCCACACTTTGTTTTTTTACAGCAGCGGCCCAAAACAATCTCCTAACACATGGATTTTCTGCTTCCTGATCACGTGACGTGTGACGTACGCAGATGAAGATCGGCTTTAGAGCTGAGGTGTTTGTTCTCATGGTGCGGGGTCTCGTTCCGAGACCCACACAGTAAAAAAAATGCAAATGATGACGTCGTTGGCAGTGAATGGTTGGATTTAAAATGACGACTTTTGTCGTCAATGGCAGTGAATGAGTTAATAACTCACATTAAAGGCCCCATGTGTGAAATCCATTGAAATGATAATGAAAAAATGTGACTCTTTAACGCCATGCAGTTTGGAGAAAGTATTGCAGCTACGGTGGCCCACTCATGAGTTTGACTGTATAATCAGTTTCCAAGCCTAACCCACACAAAGCTTAAAACAAGCTACGACCTCTTTAAAAAATATTTATAATTATGACTGTTTTATCAACCTACCAGTTCTGAAGGAAGCAAGCTAGTTCTGTTCTTGAAGCTGTCACGATTCACACACGGAGGAAGGGTGACGTCAGCCGGGAGGTCAGGTGTTGTGAGAAATTGTGTTCCCCTGAAATATTCTGTCCACCCGTGTCGGAAGATCACACTTCAGGCTATTTTCACAACATTTGTTATAAACTTTTACGGGAGAATTATGTAATGTAATGTAATAATGTTATGCTTGTGATTTTTTATCTACATTTCTTCCTAAAAACAATAAAAAAGATACAATAAAAACATTCTTGTTCACTCTTTTGCGGGAAGCTTATTTATCATTTTTGAAAGTTGTGTAAAAGGATGTAATCTCACTCAGTTCAACCATCTTTTATTTGCGGTAGTTTAGTCCTCATAATGGACAATAAGTTCTGTGAATTTGGAAATATTTGCTCTTGACTGCCTAAGGGAAACAGAATATTTCAGGGGAACATAATTTCCCACAACACCCGTTTCACGTGGATCACGGTGTACTCGGTGTAAACAAGCTGGCTGCCGCTAAAATCTATGGAGCGATCACTGGCTGCTCGTTAGCCACGGCTGGTGAGGGAG